TCCTTCATTCTTTCCCACCAGTTTCCCTTCCCCCCTTCTCCCCCACATTCTCCTATCACATGCTCCCATGTTTCATTTTCTATCCCGCATAACCTACACCTTCTTTTCCCCTCTTCTTCCCAGTATCTCGCCCCCCTCATCTCATTGTTCATTCTGAACCTGATTATCCTTCTCCATCTACTTTCCCCCCATCCCTTTCTCAGGTATTCCGGTAACCCTCCTCCTTCCATTCCCCATACCATCTATTATATCTCGACTCTCTTATCCTCTCCCACCTTTCTCCTTCTGCCTTTTCCCTGTCTTTCTGTTCCCACCCCTCATATACTTCCTCTCCTCTTCCCCTTTTTTCCTCCATCTCTTTCCCTCTATTCCTCTTTCTTTCCCAGAATTTCCCCTCTCTTCCTCCCACATCGTTCTTTCCTTTCCTCCCCTTATCCTCTCTTTCATATCCTCAACAACATTCCTCGCTAAACTTCCTCCCCTCCCTTCCTCCAACTTCCTCTCATACCCTACCGCCCTCCTTCCTGCCCTTATCCTAAATTTGTCTTTCCTATCTCCTCTCTTACCATATACCCCGGCGTGCACCAGTCTACTCCTAACGTCCACCTAATCCATCGCTCCTGCATTGCCTCCACCTCTCTCCTCTCCTTCCATCCCCATATTTCCGCCCCATATTCCAACACCGTCCCCACCAACCTTTCCATTAGCCATACTCTTTTCATCCAGTCTCCTGCAAACCTTCTCTTTCCCATTCCCCACACCTGTCTTATCACCGCTCCTGCTTTCCTAACTCTGTTCTTTACCTGCGCCTCCTGCCCCCCGTTCCTCTGTAGCTTATACCCTAAATATGTGAATTCTTTCACTTCCTCTAACCTTTTTCCTTTCCATCTCCACTCCACTCTCTTCATTCTTCCTCCTCCCTTTTTAAACCTCATTACCTTTGTCTTATCCACATTCACCTCTAACCTTTTCTTGTCCATATAACTTTCCATTTTCCCCAACATATGTATCATCCCTTCTTCATCCTCCGCCAACAGTACCATATCATCTGCGTACGCCAAACAATGCACCTTTTCCCCTCCCAGTTTCACCCCCCCCCAACCTCCTTTTCTTAGCACTTCCTCTATATCCGCTATCAGCAAACTGAATAAGTGCGGACTCATTGGGCAACCTTGCCTCACCCCCCTTGCCGTCCAAAAATTTTCCTCCCTCCTCCTTCCCCACTCTTACCTTACTCCTCGTTTCCCTGTACACCTCTTCTATCCTACTCCTTAATCCCTCCCTCACTCCCCTCCTCTTCATTGCCTCCATTAACACCTCCCTATCTACCGAATCAAACGCCGCCTTCAGGTCCATAAATGCCGCGACTACCTTTCCCCCCTTCTTGTTTACCCTCTTATTCACCAGATAGTTCAACACATAGATACTATCACCCCCATTCCCTTCCTAAAACCTGTCTGACTCTCCGGTATCATATTCTTCCCCTCCATTTCTTCCTTTAACCTTTCAGTTAAAATCCCCACGTATATCTTGTATAGCGTTGGCATCAATGTTACTCCTCTATAGTTTTCCACTTTATTCCCCGTTCCCTTTTTCAACAGTGGCACTATTATCCCTTCTTTCCACCTCTCCGGCCATCCTTCTCCTCTCCATACTCTGTTGCACATTTCCCATACCCACTCTTCTACCCTCTCCCCTCCATATTTCCATACCTCACTGGTATCCCATCCTCCCCCGCTGCTTTCCTTTCTTCAGTTTTCCCAGCATCCTCTTCACTTCCTCCTGCTTATCTCCTGCTCCTCATCCCTCTCCCTTTTTTCTTTTCCTCCTCTTACCACTTTTACCTCTATCCCTCCCAATAAATCCATAAAGTATTCCTTCCATTCCTCCGCCTTTATCTCCTCATTCACCCCTTCTCTCTTTTTCCTTTCCCTGTTAATAATCTTCCATACCTCTCCTTCCGTTCTTGCCTCTATCGCCTCCTTGTACCATCTTAGCCTCTCCTCCCCCTTTTCTCTTTACACATTAGCTTATATTCCGCCCTTACTTTTCTATATCCTTCTCCTCCTCCTCCTTTTTTCCTCCATTCCCTTAACTTTTTCCTCACTTCTTTCCTCTTCTCCTCACATTCCTCGTCCCACCACCCTTTCCTTTTCCCTTCTCCACTCTCTTTTTCTCCTTCTCTCAATTCCTCTTCTATTCTTCCTATTTTTCCTCTAGCTCCTCTTCAATCCCCTCCTTCCACCCCTCTCCCCACTCTATTTCCTCTCTTATTCTTTCTCCTCCCCTCTTTGTCCATCTCCCTCTTTTTCTTATTCCTTTTCCCTCCCCCCTTTTCCCTTTTCAGCCCCTCCTCTTCTTTCTAGCGTTACAATCAATGGGTGATGGTCCGATTCTATGTTATCTCCCACCTCCATTCTCTTTATCCTTTCCTTTACTCTATCCTCTCCCACCACGTAATCTATTACCGATTCCCCTCTTCCTCCTGTATATGTGTACTCCCCCTTCCTATCCCCTCTTATCCCTCCGTTAAAAATTCCCCATCCCACCTCTTCCAACTCCTTTTATCAACTTCTTCCCTTCCTCATTAACTTTCTTGTCCTTTGATCTTCTTTCTTCTTCCTCCTCCCCTCCTATCACCCCCCCTTTCTACCTGTCCTTGCGTTGAAATCTCCTCCCACAATCGTCCATTTATTTTCTTCTTTCTCTTCCATCCATTCCTTCATTTCCTCCAATTTCCTTTCCATGTCCCCGTTGATGTATACGCCTATTACCCTCCACTTCTCTCTTCCTACTTCTAAATCCGCCATCATTATTCCCTCCGCCTTTTCTCCCATTCCTGATACTTTTATCTTCCCCTCTCCTCCCTTACCCCATGATCATTCCCCCCATCGGTCTTCCTTTCTTCTTTCTCTTCTTTGCTGCTTGCTTCTCCCATCTATATCCTTTCGGTAACCTCTTTTTAATCGCCTCCCACCCCCTTTCCTCTATCCATGTTTCCATCATCACCACCACCTCCCAATCTTCTATTTCCTTCCAGAACTTTTCTTCCTTATTCTTCAGCCCTGCCACATTCCAAAAACCTATCTTCCATTCTTCTCTTACTTCCCCTCCTTTTTCCTTTCTCTCCTGTTCCTTTCTCCTCCTTCCTCCGTCCCCCTTTCTCCTTCCTCCTTTCTCTTCTTACTATTGTTCTCCCCTCCTCCTTTCCTCCTTTCTTCTCTTCTCCCTTCTTCTATCCCTTTTTTTTCCTCCATTCCTGTCTTCATACCCCCTTCTTCCCCCCTCATTTTCTCTATACCTTCTCTAATTTCTCCTTTCCAATTTTTTAGCACACCTTCCTCCTCTTCCCATTTCCACCATACATCATTGATTTTTATCCTTCCATAGCTCGTCCATACATTGTTTCCTTTCCTCCTTTCTATCTCCGCGATCTCCATTAGTCTCCATTTTATCTTTCTCTCTTCCCATGTTAAATCATCTTCTATTCTCACCCTCTTTCCTCTTAATATCTTCTTCCTCTCCATTACCTGTCTTTTCTGTTCTCCACTTCCTAATTTTACTACCACCATTTCACCTTCCTTTCCCTCCTTTCCTTTCAACATCCTTATCCATTCTATCTCTGCTTTCGCTCCTATCTCTTTCATTAATTTCTCTACTCTTTCCTTTACACCTTCCTTCCCTTTCTCCATTCTTTTATTACTATGTTGTTTCTTCTCTCTTCTCTTTCCTTCCATTCTAATTTCTTTCCTATGTCCTTCACTTTTCCTATTATTGTCTCGTTTATCCCCTTACTCCCTCCTTCGCCCCCCTCTCTTTCTCTTACCTCCTTTCTTCCTCTTTCCTCTACTCTTGCTTCCAAATCTATCACTCTCTTCTCCAGGCTCTCTATCTCTTTTCTCAATTCTCTTCTTTCTTCTCTCCATTCCCCCTCCTTTTTCCAAATTTCTATCTTCAATTTTCTCATTTCCTCGCCTAACTTCTCTGTTATCTTCTCCCCTATCTCTTCCATCTTCTCCTTAACTCCTCCTTTTCTATCCCCACTATCTCTCTATTCAGCCTTTCTGTCTTCTTGCTCCTTCTTAGGCTTCTTTCCTTTTCTTCCTTATCCTCCTCTCCCCCTTCTTCTCTTTTCCTTTTCAAAAAATCCTCTATACATCCCATACTGCTCCTCCTCTCCTTCCCTAACTCCTCTACTCTTCTCGGCCTCCCTGCCTTCTTTTTTATTTCTTCCTCATCTCCCTTTTTTCCCCCTTCCTCTAACATCCTATCTCTATTGATCTCTATCCTCCTATCTCTAATATTCTCTTCATTAATCATTTCCCTCTTATCTCTTTCTTTCTTCGATTCACCTACTCTATGCTCCAACTCGCTCCAACTCGCTAGTGAATTCCCTAGTGAATTCCCTATCTTTTTACTTTACTGCACCTACTCCCTACACCTACTCTCCTCTACTCTCTTTCTTCCACGTGTCTACGTGTCCACGTGTCTCACCTTTTCCTACTTTCTCCTTTCTAACTCCTTACCCTTTATCCTCTCCTATCCTTTCAATCTCTCCTCCTCTTTTTCTACACCCTCTCACCTCTTATCTCCTATTCACCTCACCCTTTTCTCACTCTTTCCTCACAAATACCTGCCACGCTTTCACACACTGTCACTCACTCTCTTACCGGAACCGGAAGCCTATAACAAAATTTATTATATATATATATATATATATATAAAATATATAGAAATATCATTATTTAAAAAAAATTAATGATATTAAAATTATATTATTGACATTAAAATATAATAATGCAATATAATGTTGATATACTGATATCACTATCAATATAAATGAAAAAAGATATTAATTAAAAAAGAGATTTTTCTCTTAATAAAATATAAATAAATACAAAATTTTTCAACAAATTTATTCTAAATATTCAAAAATTTATATATTATTCACGTTTTGTGTCCTGTTTTTATTACAGTTATTAATAATAATTTTACTACAGCTACTAATAAGAGAGCTTTGATTGCAGATGATGATGGATACTTTCTTTTACGGTGAATTTCTACAAGATGACTTTTTAAGATCTATCATAAGAAACTACTGCGATCAGAACATCAACAGAGAGTTCTGTGCTAATATGTTGTTTTTGATCTTTGGTTTCGATCGTGAACAACTTGACTACGTGAGTAATAATTTTGTGAATGTCGTTATCATAGACATTCGCACGATTTTTTCCAAAGGAGAGAGCATTATTAATTTTTTCTTTAATTTTCTTAAATTTCATTTTTTTATTTTGTTATTTTAATTTTTTATATAAAATATACAAATAAATTCCAGTGTTTATTCAAAAAGAGAGCAAATGCTTAATTTTTTTTACTTTTATAATTACATTTCTTTGTTTTTTATTTTTTGCTCATGCATTAATCATACATCAAATACATCGGATTTTACGTACATGTCTTGTTGTCTTCCTTATTTAGACTTTGCTGCCCCTCATCTTGAGTCACTATCCGGCCGGTACCTCGGCTAAGACGTTGGTGCACTTCGTTCAAGAAATTGAATCGGGCAAGTTTCGCGAATATGACTATGGTCGCGAGGAAAATCTGCTGATGTACAATTCGGTGGAACCTCCGGAATACGATATAGCAAATATCAGGATACCAATGGCTTTGTTCTACTCCAAAAACGACTGGATGGTTGATCCCGTAGTAAGTAACGAAAAAAATAGATATTTAAATAATGAAAATATACAGAAAGTCCCAAAAGGTCAGACCCTTAGATAAAAATCTTGAAAAATATATTCATATTGCATAAGATGAGTTGCTGAATAAATCATTACATTATTAAGACGAAAATCTAATGAAAGTTTTCATTGGTTTTTAGGGGTCACATTTGAAAATTTAAAGTACTTTTACAATGTAGTTCTAATTAGATGATCAAAAATGTTATACGTATTTGTATGATATCAGTACAAACTAATTATTTATCGCAATTGAAAAATTTTATCGTAAACTTCATTATTGTTCATGGTTGAGATCTCTTGAATTAGTGAAGGTTTTTCCGCATTCTTCAACATTTATCGTAAACTTTATTATTGTTCATGGTTAAGATTTCTTGAATTAGTGAAGGTTTTTCCGCATTCTTCAACATTTATCGTAAACTTTATTATTGTTCCTGATTGAGATCTCTTGAATTAGTGAAGGTTTTTCCGCATTCTTCTTTACATATGGACTCTTTCTTCCATTCGTCTTCATTTTTTAGATTTGTTAGAATTGTAATTATGGCAAGCCTTTCACAGAACTGTAACTTTCAAGCTTTGTAATTCAGAAAATACTTTATAAAAAATAACTTAATTATAGTGTTTTGAAAAGTTCTCGAGGTAAGCTACAAGAATATGTAATAAAAAATATAGAGGTCCATTTAAAAAATTCAAGGTGACCCTATTCTGACCTTAATCCTGAACGTCACCCAATTTTTTTAAACTCTACAACTTTTGTCTGAAACTTTTTTCTGTAAAACGTATATTTTTCGAGATTTTCCGATCTTTTTGGGACACCCTGTATACAAGGAGTCCAATTTTAATCGCTGACTCCTCAAAAACTTTTTTATTTTTGATTGCATAACAAAATGTCTCATACAAAAATTATTTTATTTGAAGTCAGAGAATGGCTCTGCAGACTTTTTCTAAAAAGCATTTTTCAAGATCATTTGTTTTTTTAAATAAAAAAAATATATATATATATATATATATGTGTATATAAATCGATTCCTCGCAATTTTTGGCATAAAAAGTTATAAGAATAAAAATGATAAAAAATGTAGAGTTTACGAAATATTTCATATTTAAGTCTGATATACTATGAAATATATATTTCGTAAAGTATTTATTTTTTGATAATCTTATTTTAACACTTTTATGCACAAATAACAATCAATTTTTGAATTATTGTACAATAAAAAATAAAAAAGTTTTTGGGAGTGAGTGATTAAAATTAGACGACTTGTACAGTGGAGATTGATTTGCATTAAAATTGTATATACTATAAATCAAGCTTCGTACACGAAAAAAAAAAAATAGTTTAAACAAAAGTGGCGCACAATAACACGCCAAATACTTCTTCAAGGATTCGAAGAGATTGTCCCGTATGTTACCCAACTTAATGGACCTGTATGAAATACCGTTTCCCAATTTTAATCACATGGACTTTGTATGGGCCAAGGATGCGCGAAAACTTGTGTACGAAAGAATTCTCAAGATCATAAGGGAGAATCCAAATAATATTACATCTACAAAGTGATAACATTAATAGCTAAAATAATAGATAAATATTATATTATTTGAATCTTAGTTGATTAAATTATTTAATTAAATAATTTAATTATATATATTTAATTTATATATATATAATTAACTATATATATATTATATAATTTAATTATATGTATTATTATATATATAATTATTCATTTCTGCCTTTACTAAAGCTAATAAGTAGGGGAGACCGGGGACAAAAGTAACACAGTATTTACACCACAAGATATTTTTAAATAAAATTGTGATTTGGAGCAGATATCGATATCTTGATCTTTTTTTGTATAAGTAGATAAATTTATTTAGAGTTGAAAAGTTATAAAACTGCTCTGTAATTTTAATTATAATTATTTAATTGCTCAATAAAGAACATTTAAGTGTTTTAAAGAAGATAATACAAGTTAATTGATTTATTTTTTTTATTTTTCTAATAAAAATTATTTAATATTTAATAAATAAAATATTTTGTATTTTGTTTATTTACGTAAAAATATACGTATAAAATTTTACTTATTCTGTTCTGTTTTAAAGATTGTTTCAAACATGATTTTTAGTTTAAAAAATCAACTTAAAAGATTATATTTAAAATTAAATTTTTTTTTATACAAGTTTTTATTTTATATTTAAAAAATATATTGATGTATACATGTTTAATATATAAAAATAAAAAAAATTAAATATGTACAATTATAAGTTATTTTGTTACTTTAATATCAAATATATACATATATGATCAACTGTCGTATAATACTGCTCATGTGTTTTTCTATTTTAATAATATAAATTTCTATTAAGTATTTATTGTTTAATTTCCATAATTTCCATAATTACGTTCTTTAAAATCTTCACTGAAATAACGCATCCCAAATATTATTAAGATATAACAAAAATAAAAGTATGTCATTTGCATTTTAAAAAACTATGGATCTTATCTTATTCGTGTTTATTTTAATCGAATTATCGTATCATGCATTTCTTTATGTATTTTAGGCTTTGTTTTCGAATAAAATTGACTCACTTTTAGCTGTGTAGAATTTTTAATATAACAGACAAGACAAGTATAAATTTTTTTTCAAAGTGTATTTTATCTTGGTACTACACGTGTTCATGCGTTCACCATGCATGTCAAAAGAGAAAGGCCTATAGCAGAGAATTAAACGTAAACGCTTACGTCTGTCGTAGTCGTAGACGTAAAGTAAGGCATAGAATAATACGTAATTATATCATTTTATTTTAGGCACAGAAAATACATAATTACGTCATTTTATTTTCTGTGCTTTACTTTGCGTCTTCGACTACGACAGACGTAAACGCTTACGTTTAGTTCTCTGCTACAGAACGAAGAGAGCAGGAAACATTTGGAGCATATATAAAACTTGCACTTTGCTTGCCCAGCGCAAATGTAGTCATATGCAACAGCGACATTCTTTCAAACAGGTTTAATGTTCTGTGGTTCTGAGAATTTTTGTACCTCTTATATTTCCATTGAAATGTATATTGATATAATTAATAACGCGATATAAGCTTACATAATCATTTTTCCTCTATTCGATTAAAAATTACCATAATATTGATTCATTCTAATAACATTCTAATACCTGTAAAGTTTAGTTACGTGCAGTCGTGTTCCTCTAGTTCTCGTTTGCCTTTTTCGATATACGCACATATTCCTCGATACTCCGAAAAATTCTCTCCGTTTACTTTTAGTGTCTATTGAATCATTTATCGAATGCGATGAGATTTATGGGAATTATGTATTTAGTGTCGTTTTGTGGTCATCTTGATGTTGTGCCGACAGATGTGACATTTAAACTAACAATAAGCGCACACTTGAAAAGAATATCTTGGATTGGTTGGAATTGGCTGAACAACAAGGAATTCAATTTCACTATTGTCCATACGGTGAGTGTTGAGCATATATAAAAATAAGGATTAAAATTTTCACTATATTTTGATTAGTTGATTAATAAAATTTTTTTGATGTTAGAAAAATGATCTTACGTCACAAATAAGTTGATTTTGGGTCTCCCAAGTAGCAAATTGACGACGTCATTAAAAATTAAAATGGCGTCATTATGATGTCTAATGACGTCATTCGACGTCAAAGTGATATGTATACTTGCTATCTGGGTTCTGTTCAGTTTATTTATAAAATTTTTTTAGTTTTAAAAAATTTGTAAAATTATACCTTGGCATTAACTATTTCAACAATAGCATTTATATCTTTTTTTTGCTTTTTAAAATCGATTTAAATTTTTATTGTTAGTATATGCGTATGTTATATTATTAGTACTCTTTAAAAAATTAGCATTAAATTTTCTTCTTTTTATTTTAAAATAAATATATATTATTTTAAACATATTACAATAAATTACAATAATTAAATTTTTATAAAAATATTTAAACTGAAATTTAAGAAAATTTAAGAGCATACATAAGAAAGATTCTTTAAAAAAATTAGCTTCTAAGATAATTTCTATCAAGCATCATATTTATTATGCTAAGAAACATATCCCTGCAGTTTTATATGCAAACTACATCAATTATATATCTCCTTAGATTTATTAATGTCTATTTTATTTTATTTCAAATATCTTAGAATTATTTACTTATATTATTATATATAATATCTTTTTATAATTATTATAATTATTGTTGTTTTATATTGAATGCAGAAATGTCATATTATTTCGAAAATAAAAATACTACATGTAGTTTGTCTCACAAATTTATTTCAATTTTTAATTGATTTTTATTGCTCATTTTTCTTCTAGCCAGAGATGATAAGAAGAGCGGGTTATCCCGTGGAAGTTTACGTTATAATGACAGAGGACGGCTATTACTTGACGTTACATCGTATTCCAGGTGGCAAGGGCTCTTTACCTGTACTATTTCAACCCGGGTATTTATGCAGCTCTGGTATCTGGGTTGCTCTTGGCAAAGGCAAAGCACTTCGTACGATCTTCCAAACGTCTTCCGTAAACAAGGCTTCCTTTTATTAGACTTTCTTCCTTTTATTAGAAAATCTAAGAAAAAAATTTTAAATATAAATATAAAAAAAAAAATTTTATTACACTTTTAATTGAATTAACGTTTTATTGTTAGTGCAATAAATTATTTTTTGGAAATTATAAAAAATAAAAAGTTAAATTTTCAAATATGTCATTATGTAATATATATTTTTGTATGCATGTATATATAGATATATATAATATATTGAGAAATATTTATTTAATTTATCTAAATAATAAGTGAATTATAAGTCAGTTTGTAATGTGTATTCATTACTGAAAATATTATCTGGTATGTAAAGATATTGTACAATATATTTATATGAGAAGATGTAAGTTATGTATATAATAAATTTTACAATTAATATTATCTTTTTTTGTATTTTAGCTTATTTATTAGCGGATCGAGGATATGATGTCTGGTTGGGCAATTTTCGTGGTAATATTTATTCAAGAAGACATATTTCCTTATCACCGTCAGAATCGAAATTTTGGGATTACAAGTATTTTCATATAATAAAACTAATGATATTTTGTGAATTATATAGTTTTAGCAATGTCTGATTAATTTAGTGTCAGTCTTATAAAGTTGCTTTGTATATATATATATATATATATATATATATATATGTGTGTGTGTGTGTGTGTGTGTGTGTGTGTGTGTGTGTGTATTTATTATGATTATGTTTTATAATTATTTTTTATTGATTAAATCTTTGTTTTAGCTTTAACGAATTGGCTGTCTATGATTTACCCGCGATAATTACATTTATCTCAAATATGACATCACAACCAATACATTCGTACGTTGGTATTTCTATGGGCACAACTATCTTTTACGTAATGGCAACGGAGCGTCCAGATATTGCTAAAATGGTTCAAATGATGATAAGTTTCGGACCAGCGGCATTTCTAGATCATATGACAAGTCCTATACGGTACCTCACGTTTCTCTGTAAAATGGATTGGGTAAGATAATATAAGCTGTTGAATACTGTTAAAAATAATTGATTACATAAAAACTATTTAAAAATATTTAAAAAACAAAATAACATTTATTTATTGTATTTATCTTATTTTTATATTTTATACATAAACAGATTAGTATAATATTTTTTAAAAGTAAATATTACTGCAACAATAATAATGTTACAGTCCAGACAGAGCATATATGTTCTTTAAAAAAATGTCTAAAAAATTAATTAAAGATATCTTTAGACATCCAAAATTTGGACACATAATATCTGTTCTACTATTTAAAAAAGTACACGTTACTTCTAGTCATGTATATCGAATAAAACATATTTCTTATAGCAGAATAAACACTATCTGAAAAATAAATAAGAAACCGTCAAAGATTTCTGTTTCCAAAATTTTCGAAACATTGATTCTAAAGAGATTTAAACAAAAATATGTTTGTTTTTGCTTCACATTCTATTCGTTTCTGCCAAACATATTTAATTTTTATCATCATTTATTCTGTCATCAATTTTATATCTAATAAATTGTTTTTTGATAAATTAAAATTATAAAATCAAAAAGCTTCTTAAAAAGACAATTAATTTATTATTTAGAGATCTTTAATATAATATACTATTAAAAAATCTTCAATTGCAGATAATGCGGTTTGTCTTTCACAAATTCCTGCTAATTGATTTTGTAAGGGTTTCCCTTAAATATTTGTGCAGTCATAATCTCGGAAAGGAAATCTGCGCTCATACAATATTTATGATGTGGGGTTACGACTGGGAGCAGTTGGACTATGTGAGTAATAATTTCCGGAATGTCGAACAATGGAGATGATCCGAAGTAGCAAAATGACGTCATTAGACATCAAAATGTCATTATAAGACGTTAAAATGATGTCTTTGATGTCTTATGAAGTCATTCGACATCAAAATGGCGTAGGTACGCTTGCTACCTGAGATACAACTATAAAGCTTCGATCGTCACAGGGCTCACATGATCACGTGATTCGAATTAAATTTTGCGTACATGTCTGCTTATTTTTTTCACTTAGATTCTGCTGCCCGACATAATAAGTCACTTTCCAGCTGGTGGTTCAGCTTATATCCTTATGCAATACGCTCAGGCAATCGAATCGGGCAAATTTCGCCAATATGATTACGGTCACGCAAAAAATCTATTGATATATAATTCGATGGAACCTCCGGACTACAATCTGTCGAAAATCACAGTTCCGATCGCTTTGTTTTATGGCCCTGGCGACACGTTGGTTGACATTGTGGTAAATAATAAAAACAATAATAAATTAGAATGTTAGAAAGAAAATATATATAAGAGATCATTCACGATGTAATTATACAGGATGTCCTATTTTAATCTATCATCCCGATTTTAATACAATCACTATTTATAAATTTACAAAAAATATTTTTCTAAAGAGCGTTTTCCAAATAGGTTAAAAGTCATTTATTTATTTATTTATGAAACCATCTTAATTCTTTTATACAGATTGATTCCGCATAATATTTGGTATAAAAAGTTATGAGAAGTAAGATGGCCAAAAATGAATAAAATAAGAAAAAAATCCATTAATATAAAAAACACGCGTATAGTTGTTTTTAAGAAAAGATATCCAGCAAACACAGTATATAAATGTTATATACTCATATGTACACACTATATATGTACATACTCAGATGTAATATTTTTAATATTACATATATTAACTTGTAGTTATATTGTCATTATATCCCAAGATAGCACTGACTTATCAATACATTAATGTGGTATTTGGTATATAATTACAATATAACTACAATGTAATATATGTTATATTAAAATGTTACATCTATGAGTGGGAAATTACAACTAACATGGATGTTACATGTAACGTACACGTTATATTACCTGTTATATTTCGTTTTATTATAGCAATGTAACAATTATATATCGGTGTTTGCTGGGATGTAACTGCTAGTTGCAAATTACATACATCACATACTACAAAATGAGATACCTTGGCGCATATCTTGAAATGCATATAAAATTTCATATAATACGAAAGATGATCTAAAAGAAAAATGTTTTTTTCAAGGATTTGAAGAGGTTGTTTTGCGCATTATCGAATGTAATGGATGTATATGCAGTGCCGTGGTCTAATTTCAATCACGTAGACTTTATTTGGGCCAAGGATGCACCGAAACTGGTTTACGAAAGAATTTTCCGGATTATGAAAAAAGAGAAAATGAATGATACACTGGCAATAAAAATGAAAAATGAATGTAACACGCTAAATATTTAGCAATGAATTTTCCTATAATAAATATAAAAATATATGTTTTTACCGACCGAATGCGAATATTTAGTTTTTATTAATAACTTTTTATTGACTTTACTAATGAATAAATCCTTTTCCACGATTAAAGTATTTATAAAAACGAACCGCGTTAGCTATAATTGCATATATAAATCATATAAAAATAAAAAAATTACAGTTTCGTTATCGACTTCTTTGTGTCAGTTCGTAACAATACTTATTTAATAAAAAAGTACTGCAGTTTGTCTGTGCATGAAATATAGTATACGCGGTAAGGATAATATGAAGAATTATTAGTAAACGATTAAAAGTGAGATTGCGAATCTAATAAAAAAGTTATATATTAAAAACATTTTCACGCGTATGTGTTGTATACGTGCATATGTTTAGATATGTGTGGTGCTAACCTATCATGTGTATATGTGTATACGTGCATATGTTTAGATATGTGTGGTGCTAACCTATCAGAGTTTCGTTTAAGTTACATTATATTAGTATAAAAACAAAAAAAATTATAAGTAAACAATTATTTTCAAACAGCAATTTATTGTTTATGTATTCTCGCAATATCTCGAATGTATTGTTGCCTTTTTATCGTGATGCCGATTGGTTGTTGGTTGTCGGGCATTTCCTGCGCTATGACTTGCTTCATTTGTATCCTCGTATGTTGGTTATACGATACGACTGTCAAACTGTCATACTGGCTGCGTATATGTGATAGTGCGTGTGAGTTAAGAAAAAAATACAGAGAATAAAATACATCATATATATAAATATATAAAAGATAGTGTGTGTAAGTTTAAAAAAAAATACAGAGAAAGAAGAAAATAGGAAAGTATGTATGTAATATATTATATACATTTCTATTTTAATCGTTATGTAGTAATTTTACAACTTCTCTATTATATATTTTCTATTTTGTTTATATTTATATATATATTATAAAATGTATCTTTATATACATTTTATTATATATTTTCTCTATTATCTATATTTATATATTATAAAATCTGTCTTTTTATGGAAATATTTAGACATCCTTGAATAGCAGTATTTTACAATTTCATACCATCGTAACGATCATGTGTTATAAATTATATATATAATAGAAAGAAAGAAGGTGACGGAGAATAATCGAGAAGACGAGAGAAAGGAAAAAGGAGGATTATAGAAAAGAAAAAGAAAGAGAAAGAAGAGAAAAAAGAATTTGGAAAAAATAGAGAAAGAGAAAAACAGAAGGAAGGAAAAAGAAGATATACAATATTAGATTAATAAATTTATATTTTTTATAAATGTAATAAGTATATATATATATATATATATATATATATATGTATATATTTATATTTATATGGAGTATTTCATACCACACATAAATCGACCACTTTTTATTTGCTTTATTTTTTCGTTTTTGCACTTATTAAAAGTAGTTTCCATGATTTTTTAGATTTTTATCTCTATTCATATTTGAGTTATGAATTTCTTAAAGAAATTAAAAAAAATGAAATTAAAATTTTTAAATATTTATTACTCTAAGAAGAATAAAAATGTTGCTATTGAAAAGGTGGTCATTTTTTTATTTTTGAATTATTTTTCTAAAAAAATATTGAAAAAATTTTCAAAAATAATTTAATAATGTTTTAGTCAATTTTAATCGAATTTATTTTTTTCCTCAATGAGACCCCTTCGATTTTTTTCTAAAAAATTGATAACATTTGCGACTTAAATACAAAATTTTTGAGCCATAAACAAAGAGGGGATTCAAATAATTTCAATTTTTTAACACCATTTTTTTTGAAATTTTTTTTTCGACAATTACATTCCTTAATTTTTTATATTACTCCAATAAAACAGAAAAAGTTTACAAAGATAATAATTACTTAGTTTAAAATGTTAGTAGTCGAGAAAAAATTTTAATATTATTTATTTTTTTGCTATTTTGCTCGAAATAATGTTTGTTAATTTCTTAGACGACTCGTATCAAAAGAAAAACTTTGCAAATGAAAGACATTATTTAAATATAATACATTCTATTAAAAATTATAACAAAGGAAAAGAAAAATAAAAAATAAATTATTTTAATAAATTATTTAAATTTTTAAAAAATAAGTGTTATGTTATAATTTCTAATTAAATATGTTTTATTTAAAAGTTTAACCAGGCTCTGTAATATAAATATAAATTTAAAGTGTAAGACAGGCAATAAGATTCAAATCGCGGATGACAGTGCGTTTATTTCCTTAGGGGGGGAACAGGGGATGTATGAAATTAAATCTCTTGTAGAGATTATTCCAATTTTAAATTATAGCCGTGACCAAGTAAAATTTGGTGCTTTGTGCACAGGTATTTAATTCCAACGAAAAAATTTAGTTTTGTTGGGATAACGCACTGTCATTCGCGATTTGGCTCTTATTGCCTGTCTTACACTTTAAATTTATGTTTTATTTAATTAATGTCTTTTATTTGCAAAGTTTTTTTTTCGATACCAGTTGTCTAAGAAATTAACAAACATTATTTTTTAGCAAAATAGCAAAAAAATAGTTTTAAATAATATTAGAATTTTTTCTCAATTATTAATACTTTAAAATAAGTAATTATTATCTTTGTAAACTCTTTCTTTTTTATTGGAGTAATGTAAAAAATTAAAGAATGTGATTTTCGGGAAAAAATTGCAAAAAATGGTGTTAAAAAATCGAAGTTATTTGAATCCCCTTTTTACTTATGACTCAAAAATTTTGTATTTAAGTTACAAATGTTATCAATTTTTTGGAAAAAAATTGAAGAGATCTCATTAAGGGGAAAAAAAATAATAAAATTAAATTGATACAAAGTTTCGCTCGTATATTGAAAAACAAAAAGTGATAAATGTAAGGCCAATTTATCGAGCTGAATATTCGAGTTGTTCAATCAAATAACATTTATTTCATGTATAATTTAATTGGCTTAAGAGAAAACAACATTGCAAGTATATCAACAGCATCAAACCCATAGATATACATTGTTTTTTACACTTTGAAACCTCACAACCGACAAAAATATCAAAAAATTCTCCTAGGGCAATCACTAATGATGCTAAGGAGATTAGTATACACATAGAAGCCAATAAATTTCTTAATGATACAATTCATCCTTTGGAAAATACGAATAAAAAATGGTTTATCAATCTCTCCAACATAGATATTCCTCTTAACGTTTCTAATCTGTTGCAAATGGGTGATAATTTCTGGCTCCCAAAAATTAATAAAAAAATAGCGATACATGAATTTATCAAAGACATAGAGAGTAATCATAAACGGAATAATATTAATAATCTCACAACTATTAGAAATATCGCGGTTCCGAAATTTGCACAACTTCTCAACACTAACGATAAAAATGACTTAATTCAACAAAAACTACTTTGTTCACACAGAAATTCAATAAAATTTTGCAAAGATAATCCGAATATTCTATTCACACGCGCGGACAAAGGTAACGCTACGGTTGCAATGGAGAGATCTTATTATATTAGTAAATGGAAAACGTATTAAAAGATGTCAACACATACACTATTGTTAAAAAAAATCCTTGCAAAAAAATAGAGAATGAATTGAATGAGTTGTTGAAGAAATGGCTTAAGGAAGATTATATCTCAAAAAATGAATATTATAAATTACGTTGTAGTGATTCTCTCCTTCCAAAAGCGTACGGATTACCTAAAATCCATAAGGAAAACTATCCAGTTAGAATCATAGTTTCATCGGTTGATACAGCTTTATACTCGCTGGCTTCGTTTTTACAAAACATCTTACAAACTAGCCTACCCAAAGCGAAAAGTCATATCAATAATAGTTTTGAGTTGTACAGCATGTTGTCTGGTAAAAAGATTGATGAGAACGATAGAATGTTTTCTTTAGATGTGGTTTCTTTATTTACGAACATACCTTTAGATCTTGCGATTAACGGTATTAACGAAAGATGGGATCACATTGAAATAAATACTAGAATACCGAAAAGCGAATTTTTACGTGGTATAAAATTCATATTGACTTCTACATATTTTACATTTAATGACATAATTTACAAACAGACTTTTGGGACCCCTATAGGGTCTCCGTTATCACCAATTATAACTGACCTGGTTATGCAAGATCTTGAGGATACAGTTCTTAAAGCGATAAATTTAAAATGTTTGTTTTATTTCCGTTATGTAGATGACATAATACTGGCCACTTCTATGACTAATATGACTCAGATAGTTATATTCCGTTTTATTATAGCAATGTAACAATTATATATCGGTGTTTGCTGGAAATAAATATATTAATTTTGCTGAAAAAATGTTGTATAAATTTTTAAAGTTTATTTTAATCGATGATTTTATAATATATTTTGTAAAATGTTATTAAAAAAAATAATAGCGTATTATGTTTAGAGTTTAATTTCTTTTAATAAACATGTGTAAGGAACATATATTATTTAATATATATTTATATATATTTACATTTTATTTTATATTTCCAAGTATATTTCTTTTATATTAAATCCCAGCCAGAAATGAATGATCAAATTGTCGTCGCGAATCGACATGGATTCAATATCATTTCTGGCTGGGATGTAAAACTTTATTTTAGAAAATATTAATTCGGTCGTCTTACACCTTATAGGTCAGTCTATCACTTACAGGTGATTATTAAAAATCATCTTATACGCACATGCCAAATGACAAAATTGACATCTCTAAAAAAACAAAATAGTATTACTAATTCTAATGTATATAAATTTTTCCATTATGTAAATAATAAGTAGATTCTGGAAAGTAAAAAAATATATTATTCTTCTCAGTTGGAAGAGCAGTCGCCCGGAGCGAAAGGTCTCGGGTTCGATTCCGATTCTGCGACTTTCGGATCTATATTTTTCTCTCGCACTTTATTTCTTTAGGGGGAATAGGGGATACATGGAATTAAAAATCTCTTGTAGAGATTATCCAATTTTATATCTTGGCCGGTCCAAAGTAAAAATTTGGTGCTTGTGCACAGGTATTTATTTCTAACGAA